CAAGAAATCGCAATGACACGATTGCAAACAAACCATACCCCCGGCCGGGATTGAACCCGCGGTCATAGAGTCTCAAAACTCCAGCCCGTCGCGTTAGCCATTAGACCAGCTAGCCACAATAAAATTCATCCAACTAGGCATATTTCTACACCATAGGAAGGTTAGGGGTATGGTTTGTTTGCAATCGTGTCATTACGATTTCTTGAGTCATGTTGACGGCAGTGAAGGGACTTGAGCTAGAGTTCGTCACGGCCACGCTAGCTGGAGATTCGTCTGTAAAAACTTGCATTTGTGGTCACAGTGGTGCCTGTGCTAACCTTCCTATGGTGTAGAAATATACCTAGTTGGATGAATCTTATTGTGGCTAGCTGGTCTAGTGGCTAACGCGACGGGCTGGAGTTTTGAGACTCTATGACCGCGGGTTCAATCCCGACCGGGGATATGGTTTATATCAAAACCCATCATCCGCTAATGTGCCAGAAATACTGTTGTTTCCTACCGTGATACAACTCATTTAACTCAAACATTTATGTTAGAGTCTTAGTTAATATCTATATTATGCAGCCCATACTTGTGTGGGCGACAGTCAAAAGATTACAAAGGAACATCATGGGTCTTCCTAATTCTTTTACATGATCGCTAAATGAATCATTTTAATAATTATAACATCTGCACCATGATATATATTAGGTACTTGGACATATGTGCAACACACCATGATAAATAATAAGGATAAATGATAAACAATGTTTATAAAATGATTAATTTACAGATAGTTCAAGAGAATAGATAAATGGTTTAGAGAACCGACATGTTGATAAATTAGATACATGTGCAACATTTGGGTATCTACTGAGGAAACGTTTCGCTATACAGAGGCTTCCTCAGTCCAATACAAAGAAGAACGGTGAAGATCAGAAGGAGTTTGAGGTAATCAGTCCCTTCTGATCTACACTATTCTGCTTTGTATTGGACTAATGAAGCCACTGTGTATTTCATTTATCAGTTTGATTCAGGAGTAGTTGACATTATTTACTTACTTATAGAAAGTCCCTGGCTATGCAGACAGTATTTGGCAGCATTAAAATAGGGAGCTGGAGAACCACCTAAAGTCAATTCCTGATCAGCCGGGCTGTGGTTTGTACGTCAGACTACGTGTGGCCGGTAGTAACAATCTGGTTGATCAGGCCCGGATCAACCACGAGGCCTGGTCATGAACCGGGGGCGTTGACCCCCGAAACACCCTCCAGGTATACTCCTCCAGGTATACTCCTCCAGGTATGCTCCTCCAGGTATACTCCTCCAGGTATACTCCTCCAGGTATACTCCTCCAGGTATGCTCCTCCAGGTATACTCCTCCAGGTATACTCCTCCAGGTATACTCCTCCAGGTATACTCCTCCAGGTATACTGGACAAATAATTAATATAGGTTACAAGAATGCTAAAGTTTGCAATTTTTAATATTAATTCCAACACTGCGGTTTACGTTATTACATATTTGGAATTTTTTGCATACACTCTGTTGGATTTTTTTTTCCTATAAACAATTTGTTATAACGTTTATTGGGATTATATCCAGCAACAACTCAGAAAACTTTCTTTACATTGTTAGTTATTTTAGTTACAGCTATCAGTGTACATGGAACAGCAATACAGGAAGACAGAAAATCAATAGACCTGCCATTGACCTTCAGTTCTGTTCGTTCACTTTCACAGTTACCAGCCAGTGTGTCTGTCAAATGCTTTGGTTATTCTTTGTAGAAATTGTAAGCTGAGATTATCATAAGATATCTGTAAATTATTAAGAGTCGTTGTGTATCACGAGAAGTTTAGTATGTACGAGAATATAATAATAATAATAATAACAATAATAATAATAATAATAATAATAATAATAATGATAATAATAATAATCTTTATTTCTACAAGTACACGATACAACTAATACAGACCATAGCTGACATCAGTGACATACTACTATATAGAAAGTCCCTTGTTATGCTGATCATTTCCCGCAAATTAGGTCAATTTTGCCCCCTGGATGAGACCCACAATAGTCGACTAACACCCAGGTACCTGTTTTACTGACAGGTGAACATGGACAGCAGGTGTTTTAAGGGAACACGGACCTCAGTGTGTGAGTTGAATGTGCTAGGAATCAAGCTACGGGACATTGCTAATTGTGATATTCTATATAATACTGGGCCATGTAATATAGCTTTTGAAAAAACAGACACGAATGCAGTTTAATGTGAGTTTGACTGGAATACACAGATAACCCGCACTTAGGAGATTATTATTAAAGATTCGCCGGTATTCTCCCGGCCCGGGCCTTTTCCAAGTGGTGGCCCGGCCTTGGCTCCCTCTTTAGGGAGTGTCTGAGACCTAAGTCTCCCATGGGATGAGGCACAAGTACCTCCTCATCTTTGGGACCAACTGTCCCCAGGCCTAGCCACAAGCTAGACCTCTCTGGTCTGCCATCCCCGCCCCAAGGGAACAAATGGGAATGACAGTCGTATGAGCTAAAGGCTCGGACTCAGGCACCTACCCTACCCTAGAAGGGTTAGGCATGGTGTCGATCGCACTTAGGAGAAAGGAGCTTACGACGACGTTTCGGTCCGACTTGGACCATTTACAAAGTCACACTAGCAGAAAAGAGAGATGGCTCCAGTATATATAGGCCAGGTGGCAGCTGGATTGCTTCGAGGTGCGTATTTCTGTGTAAATACATTGCGAGGTGCGTATTTCTGTGTAATCCCTTTCCTAAGAAAAGCATTCTTGGATAAAGAATAAAAAGATTAATGGTAGAAGTCGGGTGGAAACGTCGCTAGACGTTTCAGTCTCCTATGTGTGGGTTATTTATGTATTCTAGGGTGTCAGTGTTAAGGGAGTTGCAGCCTTAGTGGCCCACTTACACTCTCACTGCTTCAAACATAACAAATTCTTCTTCGTTTTCCCTTTCTAAATTACAAAGGGGAGACTAAAACAACATCAGATATATGAACGATCGTTCGCCGTGTTAGTTTATTTTCAGCAAGTACATAAAAAAATCATGTATTTACAGGAAACATACAAAAATACATAACAGTTACATATACTCTTTGTACATGTCCTATTGAGACGATTCCTATCATGTCTTCCACCCAGACTTTGCTGACATGCTGAACCGCAGTTACGTCTGTTTAGGGCAACAAAATAAGTCTTTTTGTCATAAATATACCAAATACAAAAAAAAATGATGCTTGGGATAATGGGTTATGGATCTATTAAGATGTAAAATGAGTGACGAGAAATATTATTTCTGTTACAGATAACAAAAAGCCTTTAGATACAGCTGGGAAAGCCTGTCAATAGCTGACTTTGTAAACAAAAGCTGTCATTTTTTGAATATTATACATAAACAAAAGCTGTTTTTCCTTGACTATTATACATAAAGAAAAGCTGTCATTGGCTGATCATTATATAAACAATGCCTGCCATTTGCTGATCAAGGAGTTAGCAAAGAGTGTCATTTGTTGATCATAATATCAACAGACTGTCATTGGGTGATCATAATATCAACAAAGACTATCAATGGTTGATTGTAATATCAACAAAGACTGTCATTGGTTGATCATAATATCAACAAAGACTGCCATTGGCTGATCATAATATCAACAAAGACTGTCATTGGCTGATCATAATATCAACAAAGACTGTCATTGGCTGATCATAATATCAACAAAGACTGTCATTGGTTGATCATAATATCAACAAAAACTGTCATTGGCCAATCATAATATCAACAAAGACTGTCATTGGCTGATCATAATATCAACAAAGACTGTCATTGGCTGATCATAATATCATCAAAAACTGTCATTGGTCAATCATAATGTCAACAAAGACTGTCACTGGTTGATCATATCAAAAAAGCCTGTTACTGGTTGATCATAATATCAACAAAACCTATCATAGGTTGATCATAATATCAACAAAGCCTATCATTGGTTGATCATAATATCAACAAAGCCTGCAATTGGTTGATCATAATATCAACAAAGCCTGTCACTGGTTGATCAATATATCAACAGACACCATTTTCAGTCGGTCATATATCAAGGTAAGATGATTGGATAATGAATAACAAAGAAGAAAAAAATGTTTTGATCTAGTGTACTAACAAGTACTAACAATTACAACAAAAAAAATAAAGAAAAACAAAGAAAAAATTATTGATAAACCATTTAAATACATATTCAGTTCGGGTATTACAATATACACAAAATATTCATAAGACAGAAGGAGTCTACAGAAAATACATGTCTTGATCTCACTATACATAAATTATATTGATAAATACAGGAGGATGGAAATGTATCCATGATGGTGGTGAAGGGCTCATGATCCGAGGAACTGGTGCTACTAGTACATCTTGGATCATGATTGCCTACTATTCCCCATGTGAGATCCCCTACGGGTTTAGCACTTCCCAGACAATGTAATAATGACTTGAGAAATATAGAAAAAAAAAATAATATAAGAAAATGAATTCGACAAAATTCAGGAATTTAATGATTTATAAAAGAATAAATTTATGAAATTTTTTTCACAAAATATTTACAAGAAACTAAACAAATAAATTCATAATTGTAATTTTTTTTCGATTTCACAACAAAAGTAAAAATATCCGAGTAACAAGAGACAAATATTTAAAAAAAAATCTTGCAAAATGAAAAGTATAATTTTTCATTCACGAAATATTTCATGATCATAGATGAAAAAAAAAAAAAATAACAGAATGCTAGAGAAACCTACACTAACTCATTACTGTTCAGATTTATATGAGTATTTACATACTTATACATGTATACACAATATATATATATATATGTATATATATATATATATATATATATATATATATATATATATATATATATATATATATATATATATATATATATATATATATATATATATATATATATATTATATATATATATATATAGTTTTCGCTATCTTTAAATACAGATATGTGATTTACAAAGAAAATAATAATCCTATACAAACATGAAAGATTAGACTTGGGTTTGGCTCCGTCCAGTCACACACACACACACACACACACACACAATCATAAAGCTCATGGTTCAGGGAGAGGGACTCAGTAGCGGCTAGTGAAGAGGCGGGGCCTGGAGCTATGAATCGACCCCTGCAACCACAACTAGGTGAGTACACACACACACACAGTTCAGGATGTGAATGTTCATGCACTGTTGCATTGTATTTATCCCATGGGCTGGAACAACCGAGGTGAGTTCTGCAATTTATTTTATTGTGCTGGAAGGTGCAAAACACACACACACACACACACACACACACACACACACACACACACACACTTCGAAGGGGCCGGTAACACTGATTTTTAAGTCATAAAAATGTGAATTATTTCCCCCAGAAATCTCTCTTTATCCATCTCCAGGACGTCCAGTTCCAGGGACGATCTTGTACGCAGTTCTTCCCGCAAGAGAAGATTTCTCATGGGAGACTTATTGAGTTTTGAAGAGTTGTTGGTCGCAACCGTGTTTCAGTGTGGGTTGTTTGGCGAGTACCTGAGAAACAATTGTGTGTTTGCTTGTGTGTGTGTGTGTGTGTGTGTGTGTGTGTGTGTGTGTTTCCGTGTATTTTTTCTTTGCGTGTATTTGTAAATGTGTTTTCTTGGGAGAGAGATAAAGACACACACACACAGACGACAGAGACAGAGAAGAGACAGCTTTATATATATTTATCGACTAAATGAGGACTGAGGCTGGAGCCTGGCACTAAGCTACTTCACAGATGAAGAATGTCTCGAAGGAACAGGGGCTGTCATTCCACTTGAGTCCCTTCCCGTCTCTGTTCCACAGCTCTAGACAGTGTTCCATCTCTCCATTCTCATACCTGGAAAGAAGAGAAAGAGTAGAAATGATACTCCAGGGAAGTAATGGGAATGATATACCCCAGGGTAGTAATAAAGTATATCTATCTATCTATACCTATATAATATATATACATGTATATATATATATATATATATATATATATATATATATATATATATATATATATATATATATATATATATATATATATATATATATATATATATATATACGTCGTGCCGAATAGGCAGAACTTGCGATCTTGGCTTAAATAGCAACGCTCATCTTGCCATATAGGACAAGTGAAAATTTGTGTATGCAATAATTTCGCCAAAATCATTCTGAACCTAACGAAAAAAATATATTTCACTGTGTTTGTTTAGTTTTAAATTATTGTAAACAAATCTAAAATATATTTAGTTGGGTTAGGCTAAAATAAATTGTTCTTGTTATAATAAGGTTAGGTAAGTTTTCAAAGATTCTTCTGGAGCAAAATTAAAAATTATTACATTAAAATTAATGAAAAAAATATATCTTTAAACGTATAAGAGAAAATTTTAGAGAGGACTAAATTTTAAATGAGTTCTTGCTAATTGACCAGTTTTACATATTCGGCACAACATATATATATATATATATATATATATATATATATATATATATATATATTATATATAATATATATATATAATATATATATATATATATATATATATATATATATATATATATATATATATATATATATATATATATATATATATATATATACTCAGTGGCCACTATATTAGGTACATCTACTCGTTAATGCATATATGTAATCAGCCAATCACGTGGCAACACCACAGTAACTAACAGCATGCAGACATGGTCAAAAGGCTGAGCTGTTGTTCAGACTGAACATCAGAATGGGGAAGGAATGTGACCTAAGTGACTTTGACCGTGGAAGGAGTGTTGGTGCCAGAAGGAAGAGGTGGTTTGAGTATCTCAGAAATTGCTGATCTCCAGGGATTTTCAGGCACAGCAGTCTGTGGAGTTTTCAGTGTGAGCGACAATTCTGTGGGTGAAATCTCCTTGATAATGAGAGAGGACAGAGGAGACTGGCTAGACTGGTTCAAGCTGATATGAAGACGACAGCAACTCAAATAATCACGAGTTAGAATAGTGGCATACAAGAGAGCATCTCTGAACGCACAGAACGTCGAACCTTGAAGGATGGGTTCAGTAGCAGAAGACCTCACTGGCTCTTAAAATAAGCTAAAACTGGACAATGTTTTTAAGAGTAAAATGTTCAAAATTTTAGGGCTTTTTATACAGTTCAAGGGAGGGGGGGGGGGTATTTTGATGTTAGTTAAGGGCTCTTAATCCAGGGAATTTTACCCACCCTACACTTTTTTCGAATGAAAAATGATTTGCTTACATTCATCTCATAATATTAATAATAATAATAATAATAATAATAATAATAATAATAATTATTATATTATTAACATTACTACTACTACTACTACTACTACTAATAATAATAATAATAATAATAATAATAATACAGGCGTCAGAAAATATAAATTATTTTAGGTCATTAAAAGTTTGCTTATGGAAAATAATCAGGTTTAACCCATAGAAAAGTAGAGTAGCTCCAGTTCCTTGGACCAAGAGTCCTTCACCGGCATTAACTGACCCCCTCTTGAGGGAAAAGAAGACTTAGAGCGTCGGAAACAGCACGTACTGGAAATTATTGGGTTCCCCAGCGTTCCAGTTAGTGTAGGTGATGGGCTGTCCATTGGACATCCAGAAGAAGCGTCCTTCTTCCCCTTGGTCCGTCCCTGACGTCCAGAAATGTTCATGTCCTAAACCTGCAACGACCCAAAGGACATTAGACGACCCATGGTCGTGAAGTCGTTTTTCTAAATAAATTTAATAAATAACTAAACTAATTTTTTCGAATATTTTGATTTTGTGATTTTTTACTCAGTAAAATTTTAGTGAATGATTTTTACAATTTTTAATAAATATTTCACTCATTTTTTCTTATGGTTTAAAAACCATCCAACCTGCAGGTTTAACATTTGTGTTTTAACTAAAATTAATTTGATCATTAAAATTAGTGAAGTTCAACGAAACTGGAACAAAATAAAATCTCGTAAGAAAATAAAGAAAACGGTGATAAATTCAAAGAAAACTGAATAAAAATTATAATGACGTCTAAGAAAATGTAATTAAAATGACAATAAAAGCATAAAAATAGAATAAAGTAATAGTAAAGTCTAACAAAATAGAACAAAAATGAAAACAGTCTAACAATTTAGATTACAAAGGAATTAATCTAACAAAATATTAATAAAGAAATGAATCTAACAAAATATTAATAAAGAAATGAATCTAACAAATCAGAGAATTAATAAAAAAATTGGAACTAAAAGAATATTATTAAAGGAATGAGTCTAACAGAATATCAATAAAGGAATGGGTCTTACAATATTAATAAAAATGAGTCTAACAGATAATAAAGGAATGAGGCTAATAAAATATCAATGAAGGAATTAGAGAAACAAAATATTACACAACACAAATAAAGGAATTTGGTCTCACAAAAGAGAACCTTACTAAAGTGAAGGTGGTAAGGCTCCTACCGGCTTTATTTGCTCCTCCTCTCCACTCTCCTCTAGACTTACCGACTTCCTTAACGTAATTCTCCAATCTTGTGTTCTCTCTGAGCGTCTCTATGGAGGCCAGATGCATGCCATGAAACCGGCAGTACTGCGCTGCCTTGAACCAGTTAGCCTGTAAGAACTCCCCGTCAAGGCTCACGAATTAACTCCCATGATGCCAAGGAATGGAAAAAAAATGGACCAATAAGAGATAAGTCATTATCTGATTGGTGCCCTGCATGCGTGTGCTTTTCCTATTGGTTGTCATGCAATGTTTACGTACCGATGGAGAATTTGGCACGGATTCAGGCAAGGGAATTTGTTAAATTTTGTATTACAGAAGACAGACAGGTCCAGTACAGTAAATGGAAACAATTCAGAGTAAAAGGAGTATTTTAGAATGATGTTTCGGTCCTTCTGACACCATTATCCAGCCACGAAAATGAAAGGAGAAAATCAAAAGACAGATTGGTTACAGGAAGAGGATAGAAAGTTAGAAGACAGATCAGGCTGACCAGTTTTCCGGTGTTTTCGTCATAAACCTGTCTGCTTCTGACTGTCTTCTTCCAACCCCCCCTCCCCCCCGTCCTTCTTCACAACCTGTCTTCTAGTTTTCTCCACATTTTCGCTCAGTCGTGACTTAATAAGTGTCCAGGACGGAGTGAAACGTCACCCAAAATTCTTCTCTAATACGTAAATAATTAATTACCGATGAGAGCTTATCGAATTATCCATTTTTATCTCTAAAAGAGAAATAAATAACAGAGAGAGAGAGAGAGAGAGAGAGAGAGAGAGAGAGAGAGAGAGAGAGAGAGAGAGCTACAGAGACGTGATCTAAGTCACTGAAAGTAAATGTGTTAGCAATATAACGTAACCTCATGCAGCTAAGACATTCTCGGTATGGGGGATGCAAGTTCATTCCTTGATATCTTCCTGGTAGAGAGTTTTAGCCTTGGTGAGTCCACACGTCAAGGATTACGTGCAAATAGATTTTTTGAGAGGTAGAATTAGCAAAAAAGAAGTTTCGAGGAATCACTGGCGTTAAATTATTGTTGATGTGAAGAGTTCCGAGGTGTGAGAGGATCCTGGGCTGGTAAAAGTGAGGGTAGCGTTATTTTCATAGGGACTTGTGCGATATCATGCTTGATGAGAGAGAGAGAGAGAGAGAGAGAGAGAGAGAGAGAGAGAGAGAGAAAGAGTAGGCTCCACTTTCTTGGTTTGCCTGCCCCTCCTCTCATCTGCGGCTGCTTGACAGAGTAGAGAACAGAGCAAGACGTCTCATCTCTCGCCTGGACCCATCCTGGATAGATCTGTCATTTCAGCAGAGCCTTCAACATAGGAGGGATATGGGTGGCCTTACTGTCATGTACAAGGCCAATATTGTCAAAGTACCACACTTGGATCAACTTCGAGGACAGCGTGAAACAAGCTTTTATGCCACAAGACGGGCAGCCAGCAGCAACTTCACTCTGAGTGTAACCTTCTCCAGAACATCACTTCATCTGAGATCATTTATCCCCAGGATGACTCGAGTATGGAACATGTTCGAAATAAGATCATTTGATCAAATGAAATTGCTGACCCACAAATAGCCCACAGCTGGTCTACAGCTTACCCACAGCTGGCCCACAGATGGCTCCAACTTTATCCTGTTTCACATATGTATGTATTATAGCAATAAAAAGATTTTTAAATGAGCTGATGTACAGGTAATAGCTCTTAACTTTGTCAATAAAGTTAAGAACCTTAACCTAACCTTGTGAAATCCTGTACACACACACACACACACACACACACACACACACACATATATATATATATATATATATATATATATATATATATATATATATATATATATATTATATATATAATATATATATATATATATATATATATATATATAATATATATATATATATATGCAAAACAACCACTCTGAAAGAATAGAGAAATTCCAAGCGCTTTCGTGACTACTCACATTATCAAGGAACTATGAAAGTGAAGCATCCAAGGAAGCTATATAAGGGGTCGGCCAGCACCTCACTATCAGATCCCACAACGGTTAAACACGTGACGCGCGGCGAGCCAACTTGGATAGGTCCTTTGCAAAACTCACCCCCAAGCTATTTATTTGTCCAGTGTATTATTAAATTCTTCCCAAATTCTATTAATTATAAATGGATCTAATTTATATAAACCAAAGGAAATATTCATATTATTGTCAAAACTGCTTTTTATGAAACAAGATTCAATTATATTCCTGTCGACCATGGACTTGCTTGATACTACTTTCTCAACTTTTTGAAAATCAATTGGATGGTTAAAATCTCTTACATGAATAAATAGAGCATTGGAATCTTGTCCAGTTCTAATGCTATATTTTTGTTGTTTTAATCTTAGTTCGAGATTTTTACCAGTTTGACCGTAATAAACTTTATCGCAAATTTTACAAGGAATCTTATAGACACATCCATCAGCATTTTGGGGGGAATTCTTAATCAAAATTTTTTTTTACTGTATCAAGATTTTTGAATACAACTTTAATATTAAAAGTCTTAAGAAGAGAAGGCATATCAACCAAGTTTTCATGGTAAGGGAGAACCAACATATTTTTAGTTGAATAAGGCTGGTTGCCACGGCAATTCCATACAATCCTACAAGAATCATTCTTTTCGCTTACCATGAGGCGGGCTAAAACAACACGGGTTCGAATCCTCGGCAAGTCGCAGTGTTGTTATTGATTAAATACCACTTGTTCGTGGGAGACGGCCGACTTGTTGAAAAAAAAAAAAAAAAAAAAAAAATATATATATATATATATATATATATATATATATATATATATATATATATATAGATAGATAGATAGATAGATAGATAGATAGATAGATAGAGATAGATAGATAGATAGATAGATAGATAGAGAGAGAGAGAGAGAGAGAGAGAGAGAGAGAGAGAGAGAGAGAGAGAGAGAGAGAGAGAGAGAGAGAGAGAGTAAAGCCTTTCGAGTCAATATTGGAAAAACAATAATCACACTCCCTAATCCTCCTTCTTAAAAATAATTCGGCTTCTCCTCGAAATAACTTGAGAAAGAAAGTGCTGCCACAAATAAAAATTAATAAAAAGATAATAACAACAAGCAGCAAAGTAAAGCGCTGTAGCAGTAACAATAAAAAAAATCAATAGCAGCGAGAGAGAGTAGTAATTTTTTTTCCACACTGCTGGGAGAGGTTTGACCCAAACAACAGGTTTTTATTTATTGTACAACGTCAAATATACAGTTGGCTGTTGTCAAAAATGTTCACAACTTTTTTTTTTGTTTGCTTTTGTTAGAATTGTTAGTGAGACTGAGGAGCCAAACAAACGATATGTTTGTTCTCATGGATAAATTTCCTGTGACATGCGTATGTTAAAATATTTCCAACCAAGGGTGGAGAGGTGTTAAAGAGAGCTGTTAAAATGAAGATGAGGATGCAGATGAGTTTAGATGAATTAGGTGATGGATAGAGAGGCGAAATTTGTCTTCTTCAGATAGTACTGGATAGTGAAAGGATGTGGTAGGTGCAGGGATGGCCGTGTGGCTCGGAGTGTATCAGGCATTATAAAGAGAGACCCTTTCACTGTCTGACTGATATTATACGTAGACAGACAGTCAGTACCATCATTATCAACAGCCCGGGAAATAAAGATGGGCTGGCAGAGAGGCATTCCACGTGCGGAGGCTTAAGGTTCATGCTAAGACTGGAGTGGTTATTGGCACAAGGTGCTCAAAGGTGAGTGTAAAACGGGAGAGGAAAAAGAGTCCACTGAGAGGCAGAGGAACCAACCCTTGCAATACGAAAGAGAACTGTTCGTTGCTGTTGTGTTCACACAACGGTTGACCAACGAAATGATGTAACAGAAGAGAAGGTTTCAGGGATCAACGCCCCAGCGGCCCGGTCTGTGACCAGGCCGAGTAAGCAGTACAGCCATTGGAAAAGAATATATATCATAAATGAATTGTTGATGAGGTGACACACACACACACACACACACACACACACACACACACACACACACTCACATACACATACACACCCACACACTCACACCCACACACATACATACCCACACACATACATACCCACACACATACACACCCACAGACATACACACCCATACCCCCCAAACACACACACACACCATCCGTACACGTGAGGATAATCGCCATAAGCCCGGAGGAGAGGATTGCATCCTTTAACCACCAGCTACAAGTGAAGAGCCCTTCCAGTAACTATCCAACTTGTATATAAACAACTTGATGCATCTTACTGCGACCAGGAGGGACACCTGAGGCTTACGACGAACTTAGGGGAAACTGAACTAGAATGGCAGGGTGGGGACGATGGCAGGGTGGAAAGGATGGCAGGATGGAGAAGATGGGAGGGTGGAGAGGATGGTAGGGTGGAGAGGATGGCAGGGTGGAGAGGATGGCAGGGTGGAGTGAATGGCAGGGTGGAGAGGCTGATGGGGTGGAAAGGATGGCAGGGTGGTGATGATGGCAGGGTGGAGAGGATGGCAGGGTGGAAAGGATGACAGGGTGGAAAGGATGGCAGGGTGGAAATGATGGCAGGGTGTAAAGGATGGCAGGGAGGAGAGGATGGCAACGTACAAAGGATGGCAGGGTGGAGAGGATGACAGGGTGGAAAGGATGACAATGTAGAGAGGATTTTACGGCGGAGAGAATGATAAGGTGTAAAGGATGGCAGGGTGGAGAAGATGGCAGGGTGGAGATGATGGCAGGGTGTAAAGGATGATATTGTGGAGATGATGGCAGGGTGGAGAGGATGGCAGGGCGGAGAGGATTTCATGGTGGAGAGAACGGCTGGGTGTAAAGGATGGCAGGGTGGAGAGGATGGCAGGGTGTAAAGGATGGCAGGATATAAAGGATGGCAAGGTGTGAAGGATGGCAGGGTGAAAAGGATGGCAGGGCGGAAAGGATGGCAGGGTACAAAGGTAGGCATGGTGTAAAGGATGGCAGGGTGGAAAGGATGACAGGGTGGAGAGGATGGCAGGGTGTAAAGGATGGCAGGGTGTAAAGGATGGCAGGGTGTAAAGAATGGCAGGGTGTAAAGGATGGCAGGGTGGAGA